AAAAAAACTGCCTAGGCAGTGGCACCATGTAAGTATAAGCAAACTGACAGGTGAATAACGAGAAAGTTAAAACTCTAAATAAATCTAATATAGAAATCTATGCGCAAAATGTGAAAATGCACATTGAGTGAGTGAGTAAATGGGAAGTGAATGGTGAACTCAGATATGTACAGAATTATCCTCAGTAGGAAAGTGCACTTTCAGGTAAAGCTCGTAGATATCCCTGAATCATCGGCGCAACGGCATCGCTTCTAAAATAATAGTAAAGCGCTCGCTTGTGTAAAAAAGAGATAAAGCGACAAGAAAGAGCCAAAAAGTAAGGCCTTACTCTAGCACAAGTGCGTGAAGTAAACTCCTTTGAGAAGCTTTTTGGCTTGCAAATGTGCCCTCCTGCCATCGGATCTTTGACGAAGTGGGTATCGTCTATAACCTGAAACGAACATTATCAGCTGGTAAGTCAGTATCAGCATAAGTTCTGCTATTCTTACCTTAGCAGGTACATACTTCTTCTTCAGATAGCACTCCCTGCATACGTAATGTCCCTTTGAGCCGTCAACAGTTCTAATCCGGTTGTAGACGTAGCAGAGATCCGTGGAAGGAATACGGTAAAGCAAAACGGGCGTGACCCCTCTGTACGACGGGGCGAATGTGCCAACATAGTGCTGCGGATTATCAGTGCAGGAATCACCATCAAGAGAAACCACATCATCTTCAAGCTGCACGCTAGTCGTCGAGTTTTCCAGCCACGAATCGTTGGCACTTGCATCGAAGTGAGTGGAAGTGTTAGGCTGGTTTGCTACATCATTGATGGAATAGTAAGCAGGTGTTGGGAAAGGAGCAGCCGAATAATAGCTTGGTTGAGGATATTCCAAAGCTGGCAAAGAAGTGAGCTGATTGTAGCTGGGAGGGTACTCCGGGTAGTACTCGGGCAGGGGCAATGGAAAGCCAAGACACATGGCTGGAGTTGGGACATTTCGCACATCATCCGGACATGGAAGAGCCGAGAACCCAGTGATATACGAAGCAGCTTCGTAATAACTGCTCTGGAACATGCAGGAGTAATTCATGATTAAGGTTACAGCTGAAGTCCACAGCGTTTTATATAAGCTTTCGTGACCCTGCCTCAGGGATGAATTGACCGGGTCGTGTCCCACAGCTACAAGGGTCATACAAGGTTTTCCCCTCCTGGGTGTGAGGTCACGGGCAAAACAGCCTTTGTGTTAGCACATTTACTTTTCTGCATGAGTTTGGACGGATTGATTGTAAGAAGACCGCTACTTCTACATGAACATGCGAAAAATGGATGAATAAAGCATCCTGAACGCTCAAAACCAGTTCCATCTGCTTCTACTACATAAATTTACTATGGATATAACTGACTTACGATTATATCGCTCAAGCCTATCATTTCGTTCGCCAGTATTTCAAATTTCGGAAAGAACGGCAGCCAAAGTATGTTGAAGCTGCACTTCTGCAAACGGAGGAATTTCATTAGTCTCACATGTTTAGAATCAGAGCAGTTTATTCAAAAAAAGAAGAAGAGAATTGAAAGAGCTTAACAACGCAAGTAATGCACGGCTTGCGCATACTTCAATGCGGAAGCGGAGCGCTGGAGCCTCAGAAGGAAAATATGGAAGAAACCTAGACAGTTGGTTGTGCATCACCGGTATCAGCGGTGTAATACTTGCTATCTGCTTCTAATTTGAGAGTCTTAATTTTATGTAACGG